TTTTGCAAATTATTTATCCATAGAGGTACAACATAGATTGACACAAAAAAATAAAAGTTCAACATAGCGTGACACAAAAAAATGAATTGTTTGGAAAAGAAGGAAGTTTTTACCGGTAATTTCATAATTAATTTCATCCGATGGAGTTGAAGACACTAAAGCCAACATGTAAAATTAATTACATCACCGACAAACCAGTAATGGAGACTATAGGATTATACAAAATAAATTTCCTCTCCCACTTAGTTATCTAATACTTTGTGAGGGCTATTAAGATATATTTATAAAGATACTGAGTTACCCCATCTTTATATATAGTATGTATACATGCAACAAATAAAATATCAAATTCTCACAACTATCCATATAGAAATTGAGAATTTAAATTTACTTTTTAATTACACATACATACTTTGAACATCCATAATTTAAATAAATATAAATTGGATACTATTCCATGATAAATAATCTAAGTCAGACAATTATCCATGTTGTCCACATGTTAGGGTGCCGTTATATAATTAACGACTCATATAATCGAGATATACATGAATAATAAAAACAAAGATCAACATAAATAAGAAAACTGGTTAAATAAAGAGTCCCAATTATTTAGAAAACTCCCGAAACAAAGAGTCCTAACTATTATGGTCATATCTTCAGTTTCAATGCAATAAAGAGTCTGCAACAATCCTTGACAAATCCAACCACCTCCATGTTGCTAGGCTAGGAGAAACTTATGCGATCTTATTATAGTGGTGTATGAAGGGATAACCATTGACTGCCCAATCAAGTGGAAAGGACTTGGGGCTGCGCCCTAAAACCTAAACAATTTCTGAAACAGTTTTTTCTTTGCAAATTCAATTTTTCATTGTGAAAAAACTACTTCTGAACAACCGTCTTCCACAGGAAATCTCATACAAAACAATAATAGTAATAATACACGGTCCTATGCCTCCATGAAGGAGTTCACATACTACCATCAATATTATAGCATGAATAAACCTTCGCGGGGTCCAATCACATAAAATGATAAAAAAAAAAAATATGTGACCATAATAGAGGGATAAGAACGCTGCAAAATAAAGATTAGCACATTTCTACATTTTACCCATCAATCATCATATACATCTAATTGTTTTACTTGGACAATATGGTTGTATTCAATATATATATACGGTATCAACGAAGCTCTACTACCACTTATTGGATCAACAGTCTCAAGATCCGTTGATGGCCAGTATAATCCAATACAAAAAAAAAATTGTCTTTTATTAACCCTACAAGGAGGAATTAGGGTTTACCTTTGATGAGCAGATCTGCACGAACAAAGAACAGATGCAAATTGAATAACAGACTCGATAGACCTCACGATCTTTTACCATATATTCTTCCATGCCAAAATTCGACTACAATGTTGACTACAATCCTCCAAATTCTCTCTCTTGCTCTCTTTCTTTGCCTTTTCTAAATGTGAAGATAAATGTTATGGCTAAGAGAATGAGATAGTACATTTATTTATAGGTTATAGTAGAGACCTTAAGGAGAAATAAGAGTCGAGCTTTCAATGAACTTAAAAATCCTATATTCAACTTAGAACAAACATCCTAGAGTCTATGAATAATAAGTTACTCCACTAAAAATTTATTATTGATCTCCTGTGCCTTATTTTTAAATTATATTTCGAGTTTTTCATTATTATATATTTAATAATCTCCTTACGTTTAAAATTACAGATGTCCGTCAATTAATTAAATTACTGACAATTATATTTAATTGATTTCCTTTTACCCCTTGAGATCTTACCATTCAACTTATTAGTTATTTCAGATAATTAAATCTACCTGCAGGGTTTAGCATGGACAAAATTTATGAGATTCCTCAATAGTACATCATTAACCCATTTAAATATCGGGACGTAGTTCCCTTTAATTATTAATTTTCACCGTACAAAAAAGGTCATCTCTCAATTCATTGAGTTTGTTGACTCAAATCTTACTCTTTTATGAATTAAAGTAACAATCACTTAAATGTGCGTGTCAATTAAATATATGAGAATTAAGAGTTTAAATAANAATCTTACTCTTTTATGAATTAAAGTAACAATCACTTAAATGTGCGTGTCAATTAAATATATGAGAATTAAGAGTTTAAATAATCATAACAACTATGAAGTATTTATTTTCTTAGTTAGTCTGTAAAAAGAAAATAACTTCAATAATGGTCATGTTCAATACACAAAGTATACTAATTCAACAATACGAGATATCAGACAGTCTCCTATAACCAAAACAGACTATGTCAAAAGATTACACAACAATCCTACTAATGATGTGTTCAATTCCATCTGAGAATATGAACATTTATTTATATTATATAAGGATTTGATAATTTGATCTTCTCTGTATAAGTTGAATTCTACATATTAGATTATCTACAATATAAAATAAAAGACACAAATGCATATATATATAAAATAAAGTACAATATAATTTAAATCTCAAAAAATAAACAAAATAATTTTTATTTTTCACAGTTGAGATCTATTTAAATTTTACTTTAAAGTTAATCCGACGGCTAATATTAGCATCTCAAATTTAATAGAGAAAATATGCCCCTAAGGATGTGTTTGGGGTAATTTTTTAAAAGTGTTTCTAGAACTTATAACTTTTCATAAATACTTTTAAAAAAAAAGTGTCTGGAACTACCCTACCACTACCACCACCCCACCACCACCACAACTACCCCCGTCACCACCACCATCATCACTACCACCACAACTACCCCCGTCACCACCACCATCATCACTACCACCACAACCACCACCACCACTACTACCACCACCACTATCACACCATCTCTATCACAACAATCACCACCACCACCCCCCCCACCACTACTACCAACCCCATCACCCCACCACCACCATTGCCGCCACCCTACCACCACCGTTGTCGCGACCTATCTTCGCCAACTACCACCACCATCATCACCACTACCACTATAACCGTCATCCCACCACCACCATGTCTGCCACAACAACCACCACCACCACATCCAATGTCGCCACCACCCACGACCACCACACCCACCGCCCCACAACCACCATCACAATTACTATCACCACCATCACCACCGCTATTGCCACCCTACCACCACCATCGCCATCCCACCACCACCACCATCACCCTACCAGTGCCCCACCACCACCACCAACATCACCCCACCAGTGCCCCCCCACCACTACTGTTGCCACCTTACCACCACCGCCACTATCCCACTATAACCACCACCCCCACTGCCCCACCACTACCATCACAATTGCCACCCACGACTTTCACTATCACAATCGATCATCATCACCCATCACAACTATCACGGTCTTCCACCATCACCACTGCCGCCCACCATCACAACCACCGCTCGCCCCTACCACCATTCTCACCCACCATAACCTCCGCTCGCCCCCATTAGAATCAATACTTAAATTACTTTCTATTTCCTTTATTTTTGTAATTTGATTTTGAGTGTGAATATAAATATGTTTATTGTTAATTTTTTTTTATTATAAATAACTAGTTTATATATATTTAACATAATGTAAATATCTTATCTACACAGATTCTTATTGAAATAAGAACAAACAACTTTTATTAAATAATAAAATGAGTTTCATTAAAAAAAATTAATAAACTTTTAATATAGAACTCTATTAAACTTGACAAGGGTAAAAACTCAAGCGAAAAATGCATTTGCCTTTTTATCTTTTATTCTCTTTTGTTACTAGGAATGAATCTAGTTCTTTTGTCAAAACTGCATAAGTTGTTGGCAAAGAATTTTAAGTGAGATCAAAGGCAACTTATTTATATATTTCTTCCGCAAAGGAACATGACGCCTACACAACAGGGGGAAAAAAAGGAAAAAACAAACAAACAACCATCTAATACTAAAAATTTTAGAGAAAATTTACCCTATCAACATATGGAAGATGGCAATCTCTGACTTTCAAAACAATCCCAGAGAGAGAGGGGAATGGTCCTTTCGATGAACACAAAAGGGCAAAAATAAAAGGGAATTGTTTCATAAGTAAACTCAATTACTTGTAGGGTAAAAAGAAGGAGATATAAAGGCCTTTTAATGGAGCAGATTTGAAACTGACAGCCTACTCCTCCAAATTTGGGTCCAACCCGTGGAGGACACATCTTGTCTGCGGCGGAAATCAAGGAAAAAGCTTATTTATAAAGCATGGGAATGGAAAACATCATCCTTCCACTGGCTGACAAGATTCAAAAGTCCACACTCGCTTTCTCACCGCACATGGACCACTGACCCCGTTTCACTCTCCTAAGCGTCTCTCTCTCTCTCTCTCTCTCTCTCTCTCTCTCTGTCTCTGTGGATGCGTTTTTCACCTAACCACCACCTCTAACAAAATAAAAATAAAAGTCAAATAAAAATTTATAGATACACTCACACACTCAAAATTATCGGATGTGAAATAGCCTAGTCCCCAAGACCCCGACGTTATTACCATGACCTCAAGCCGGGGCCTAACAGCCCAAAGAGTAGGTTTCCAGCCTAGGCATCGAACATTCCATATGAACCCGAAAGATGTTTTTTTTATTCACACCTAACCACTTATTCTAACAAAGTAAGAGTCAAATGAATATTTATAGATACACTCACACACTCGAAGCTATCCGATGTGGGATAGTCCCTTACGAGTTAAATATTTGAGAAGAGAATGAGTAACGTTAATGAGATATAATTTATTAATTTAATTTAAAAATTATAATAAAATTATATTATTAGATAAATAAATTAAATTAAATTTTTAGGTGTTAATAAAGCTATGCTCCGACAGTTCTTGAGGATCCCAAGCCTTTTTTAAGACTTTCTGCCCTCAACACTCAACACCCATCAATTTCTTTACCCCACCCACCCACCTATTAGTATAATAACCACAAACCTTTCAAACTTGTTTCTTTCTCCAAGTGTTCTCTCTTTTTCTGACTCTGAAACACACAATGGAGGTAACTTACTCTTCTTTGCACCGAATCTCAGAGCTCTTCTCCTCTTTTTGCTCGTCTCCATGCAGTTTTCAACCATATATGTTTGTGGTTTTTGTTGGCTCCGTATTGGGTATTATGGTTTGATTGATACTTTTTTGATGATGGCTGGTTTTAGGAATGTAAAAAGAGCGGTCAAATTCCAGCGTTTGGGGATTGGGATACCGCTAATGATCTGCCAATCACTCAGTATTTCGAATGTCCAAGGCAGGCGGGCTTGATTCGCTTCAGTGGTTCTGATGGCTGTGCTACTAGAGATCGTTACGCTGTTGATTTCATCAAACCTCCTCTTTGTTCTGCTGCTGTTCCTGTTCCTCCCCAAAAGGTATCTTTATGATAAAAGCCTTATGACTCTAATTTTTGGATCGATGTACTTTTTATCATCAAGCCTTATCTCCTCCACTGCCGTTAATTTTCATGTGCCAATTAAAAATAATATTTTTCTTAGGGGGCAGCTAAAATAACTTACGAGCTTCTGTCTTCCATGGTCATGGCTAATAATATAAAAACCTAAGGTATAAAAAGGCCCATGGAGTTTTACCCTTGAGGATTTAGTTTCCTCTTCCTTAAGGAATTGAATATTAAATTAACCAAAAGCAGGATGATTCTCCCTTATGTTTGATATTGTTGCTAGGTTCCCAAGATTTTCTTTACATATATTATCTTGCAAATTCTCCCGATTATTCGCTCCTAATTTTTTTCTCAAAAAATATTATTTAAATTTAATTTGAAACCTAATTCAATATAACTATCGGATCGATAATAGACTCCATCTAATATTAGAACTCTAAAATCACATTATTAAGTCTTCAAATTAGGTATGAAGTTAGTTCTCCTCTCCTCCATTAGGCTAGATTCCCTACGTGTTCTCTCTCTCTCTCTCTCTCTCTCACACACACACACACACACACACACACTAACCCTGTCCTTAGGAGTTAATTAGTGTGCTAATGATGGTAATGTAAAATAAATGTCGCATAGCAGACAAGGTGTATTAATGGGCGTTGCCCGCATGTTAAGGAGCAGAGGAAGCAAGTTAAGGTTTGTGACGTGAAGGAACAGCCAAGAAAGCAGCCTTTGTCCAACACTCACAAACACTTCCCAAAGCACAGCGACAAGGCAGGTGGTGGTCATATTACCCGGAAGCAGACCGCTACCACTACTACTTACAATGTCAAAGCAGTCGATGAAGATCTTTACAAAATCCCCCCCGAACTCCTATACACTTCCAAAAGAGTGAGTTCCTCTCTCCCTTCTACTTTTAACAATGTCATTTGTACTTAACAAAGAAGACAACAACGTTGTTATCTGGATTTTATCTTAATGAATTGTGCTAATAAATTAGGTATAAACAATATTATTATTTTAATAATACTATTGCCATCATCTCTCTCTTATTTTCAAGCAGAAGAAAAAATTAGGATTCTTTTCAAGATGCTTGGTGCCCGACTGTATGGTGTGAATCTAAACTCAAAGGGCTCTTTTATCAAAGTTGATGAAGGAATGCACAAGCTGCAAAAAGGCTACTCGGCCATGAGAAGGGGATGAAATCTCAATGGCATCTATTTACAGGGTATGACATGCTGTGACGAATGATGTAAGGATTGCCATTTATTGGCATTTGCAGAGTTGTCGCGAACAGATGATGACAGACAGCGGTGTTGTGTGTGTGTGTGTGTGTGTGCGTTTTTCTTGTTTAATGACATTATTGTTTTGGAAGCATTTGCAGAATTAGTCGAAACAACTTTAGAAGCATGTGCATGTCTACTGTTTTTTTCAAAGCAGACACTACTTTGTTATGGCGTAGCCACCTACCTACTTCTGTGGTCAGGTTTGGTAGCCACCTAGCTACTCGAGTTGATAATTTTGATTCGAATTGGGTTGCGGAATTTAGATTATTTTCCAAGGTCGACTTGATTTTTAGATAATATATTGGAGTTTGTGTTGGATAAAATAGAATATTCGGATCAAAAATTTAATTTGTTTTATTGATTTTGAGCCTAAATTAAAATAGAATTTACTCATCATTTTTAGTAAATTTTCACGGGTTTGTATTATACTTCGCGAGTAAAACAACGTCACATATTATCTTATTCAAATCTAGTAAAAAATGAACGAAAAAATAGTTTTTAAAATGACCTTTGAAAATAGAGTTTAGCATATATGAAATTTAATATTAATCTCGCGTTAGTTGGACAAGAAATCGTAAGTGTACATATATCCAAATTTGTTCTAAGAGTTGAGTTTCAAAGGTTATCCCACTTTTGTGGACGGGATATTGGGCTTGGGGGTGTGGGGACAAAATTTACATGAAGAAAATAATGCTAAACACTACTTTTGATCAAAATTTTCTCATTTGTATGATAACTTATTATATTTTTTATTAGTGTAATACTCTTCATATACTGCAACTGTTAAGAATTTAAGCTTTTACAACCTACAATATTCTTGTTATTGCCTATACTTACAATATTCTGTTTATGTTATATTGCAAGAATCTATTATTGAAAACGTGGGTACACTTTTTATTGGAATTTCAGTCCTAATAACTAGTAACTACTGTTTCTAATTTTTACCAATTAGTTGGTGTACATGTGCGTTACACATGAACTATTTTGAATATGAATTATGGTATCTAATTGCTATAAAAATTATCGCATATTTCTTTGTTCGAAAGTTAGGAACATTTTAAGATGTATGAAATTGCAATATTACTGGATAATCAAGAAATAATCCATCTCATCCCTTGCGTTTTTTTTTTCTATTGTTTTATTGGAAGAGTCATGAAAGATGAAATAAAGCTAGTAAGAGATGATATCCTTCTACATTGTATGACCAATCATCAATGATTGGCGATCTAGGTGTTCCAAGTGACAGGTGATTTTGACGCTTACCCTAAAGAATAATATGAATTAGCAATATGTGTAGGAGATGGTCATTTTTGGATTAAAATCTACTTTTACCGAATGGATACCTCTGGAAAGAATTTATAAGCTTAAAAAAACATAAAAAGGATGGGTATGTTGCAAAGATTTTAATGAGGCAAAACAAGTTAATTTTGGTATTTGATTTCCAGAGATTTTAGTATTGATTTCAAAATATTTTAGCATTAAAATTGATGATGCACAAATTAGTATCGTGCAAGATCAACAGTCGAGTATATGAACAGATGCAATTAATGAACAATAAGTAAGATAATTAATGGCAAAACAGTAAATATGGAGTCAACACGCAGATTTATAGTGGTTCGGTCCGAGTGACCTACTTCACTATCGGGAACAACATCAGTGGCCGGAGATCATTATTGATGAATAAAAGTCACTAGGAGAGTACATTCCGGGAGAATTACAATGGTGAGAGAGAGAAGCAATGTGTGTAGGGAGGTGTAGTGTGTATAGGGATCTCAAAGTGTAGAGGCCTCAAAGTGATGCCCTCTATGTGGAGAAGACTTACATTATATAGGTATGGTGAGGCGGTGTTGTGAGGGAGTGGGCACTATCCTTTTGGTAAGTATAATCAAGGTAGGATTGGATTTCCATAAGTGCGTATCCCAATAGTTTCTCCCACGTGCTCCTATCACTTTAGGCTTCTTGGAACCTAAACTGGGTCGGACTGGCAAAGTGGGCCTAGGCCACCCTTTAGTTGACTTAGGCCTTCTTGATTTATTGGGTCTGGCCTAGTTGGATTTGGGCTCATCATTTGCCCCCCATGCCCCAAGCCCTAATTGCTTACGAGAGAAGGGGGTTAAGGTCATGAGTGAGCTCTTAGTTTCTTATTCTCCACGGTGTTAGCTTCTCGAGCTTCTTGCTCCTGTACTTGGGAAATTTTTCTCTTCTTTTGATAGCTCCATGGTTGGGCACCTATTGTATTAACCATTTCTTCTTTGTCTAGTCTTCACTAAACTTGGATCCCTCTTTCTATCTTTGGGTGCCAACCTTTAGGATTTTAAAGAGCATCCCCATCTTCCCCAACTCACCTCTTTTGGAACTAGAGGTTAGAAACACTCCTTACATCCTTACCCCATAATCCACTAAAAGGGACAGATGGAGAGCTGCACGACTCCCATGAGGCGAGCGGCACCCTTGAGGTAGGCGGCGTCCAAGGCGTTAGCGTTGGGGCCTTGGCTCTAGGCAACGCCAGATCAGCTACGAAGGATTTAGTGGAGAAAGCTTCAATAGACGTTGTGCCATGAGAAGATTCCCTAATGGAGAGGAGAGGGGGCAACGCTCATGGGAGAGAGAGGAGTTGTGGAGGCGCCCATGCCCAAGGGAAAGATGCCTGGTAAGGAGGCAGCGCCCAGTAGACCGGTAGGGAGGTGACACCCAGTAGGCCAGTAGGGAGACGGTGCCTAATAGGGAGGCTCCTGGCAAGGAGGCACCCAGTAGGGCGGTAATGAGGCGGCGCCTAGTAGGCCAATAGGGAGACACCCAGTAAGCCGGTAGGGAGGCAGTGCCCAGTAGGCCGATAGGGAGGCAGCGCCCAATAGGGCAGTAGGGAGGCATCCAGTAGGCCGGTAGGGAGGCCGCACCTAGTAGGCCGGTAGGGAGGCCTCGCCCAGTAGGGCAGTAGGGAAGCGTCCAGTAGGGTAGCGCCCTGTAGGCCGGTAGGGAAGCGGACCCACTTTCTCCAATCCTACTTTCTCCTTAATATTTTCTCGATACTGGTTCTTTATACCGACATTGTCTCTAATTATAGGCATCCTATTGATAGGGCGATGGTGGAGACTCTCTGTACTTTTAGGGTGGTGTCTTCCCCTCCTCCCAAGAGGGTGAGGTTTGATGCCCCTAGTGCTTCATGTTCTGCCTTTTGGATTCTTGTACATGACCGTTGCCTTTCCTTGCCTCTTTTCAAGAATGATTAAACTTTGAGAGGCATCCAAAGGATCTGGCGAAAGAGAGACGGGCTTCGAGAGACTACTGAGGAGCAGTTAAAGCTTGTTCTTAAGAGAGTCATGCCTCCTAAAATTGAGCTTTTTTGGCATCTTAAGAGAGGGCTGGGAAGCTAGAGGCTGATAAAAAGACTGTCTACGCAAGAGCAGAGTCAAAGCTACGTATAGCTCGATGGAGGGCTACCATGGTAAAGACTTACAAGGAGTCATAGTTGCAAACGTCCGGTGAGAGGGCCACAGGAGCTGAGGCTGAGCTACGTATAACTCGGGAGATGACTGTCGTGGCAAAGGCTCACAAGGTAACTACTTGAACAATAGTAAAGCCATAGCTGCAAACGTCTCGTGAAAGGGCCACAAAAGCTGAGATCGAGCTACGTATAGTCTCAAAAGATAACTATCGCAGTAGAGGCTTGTAAGGAGACTACCTATGCGAAAGCAGAGTTATAGCTGCAATGTCTTATGACAGGGCCGTAGGAGTTGAGGCTGAGCTACATATAGTCTCAGGAGATGGTTTTCATGGCAGAGGCTTATAAGGAGACTACCTGCACGAGAGTAGAGTTATAGCTACAAACGTCCCATGAGAGGGCCGCAAAAGTTGAGGCCGAATTACGTATAGTCTCGGGAGATGGCTGTCGTAATAGAGGTTTGTAAAGAGACTACCTGCGCGAGAGCATAGTTATAGCTACAAACGTCCTGTGAGGGGGCCAAAGGAGCTGAGGTCGAGCTACGTATAGCTCGGGAGAGGGCTGTCGTGGCAGAGGCTCATTCCATTGAGATGGATATGAAGAGGGCGCTGAGGAGTTGGGCGCCTGAGGCTGGGCGGGGACGCTAAGGGGTGCTGGGTGCCGAGGGGTTCTGGGCGCTGATGTCGAGGGGCCGCTGGGCACAGACACCTAGGGACGTTGAGCGCGGACGCCGAAAAGCGTTGGTGCCAAGAACAGAGAGGTCTTTCTTGAGTGGCGTGTAGAAGGTGGGTGATAGTCAGTCTGGTGGGCGACAGCTGGCCTGGAGTATGCCTGTCTGGGCGGCGCTGGCCACTAGCGTTAGCTTGGAGAGGTCTCGGGTTACTCGGGTGGCGCCTCAGGTAACACAAGACAGTCACTTGATTTTGGCTTTGTCCTATATGAGGCACCAGAGGTAGAAGATGACGGAGAGAACCTTGATGACGACTTTTTCTTTTTTGTCTACCTTGTTGTTAGGTCATATTCTGACTTTTGTAAGCTGTTTGTAAATTTTAGAAAAACAAGACAATTCAGACACAATAATCTTCGTAAAATTTTAATTCATAAAATAATAAATAACAAAATAAATCAACTGAAACAATAATTTATAGATAAAATTTTTAGATGTTTGGTGTCCCATAGGTAGGAAAAGACTTTCCTGGTGGAGTTGGAGTCGCCTCCTCCTCCTAACCCTCAAGAGATTATCTGAATTTTTTCGAGGGATTGCTGACATTCTCTGTCGGCCTGGTCCCAACCAGGTGGCAAGGCTTGTCCTCTGCCAACAACTAACTTCCTTAATTGGCCACGTTGTATGAGCTCCTCGATCTGCCTTTTAAGATCAAAGCAGTCGTCAGTATCATGGTTGTGGTCGCAGTGAAAACGACAGTACTTATTCAGACTCCTCCGGTTCGAGGGCGGTCTTCATCTTCTTTAGCCAGCATACTGTAGGATCATTATGTATTTGGAACAGGAGAGGCTCCACAAAAGCATTGAGCAGCATGAAGGCTTGCCTCTCTCTTAGAGGCGGGGGGACCAAGGTGGTCCTTGACAGAGATTTTCTCTGTCCTATTCCTTTTGTTCTCTACTTCCCGCTTGTCCTCACGGATGTCATTCCTCTTCTCGCCTCTATGGGTGGACTCACCTCGTCTGACCTTAGTGACATCCTCGGCATTCATATACTTTTGTGCCCTTGACAGCAGCTCGGGCATGTTGGAGGGCGGCTTCTTGATGACGGAGAATATGAAACTGGAGGAATAAAAACCAACGA